AATTTTTATTTTTATCTATTTTATTCTTAAAAAATATATAAATAAAAAATTATTTTAAAGTAAAAAATTAAAATTTTAAAATAATTTAAAAAATTTTTAAATTAAAAAATTAAATTGATATTTTAACCTATTATTTTTCCCTTCGAACTTATTATTGTACCGGCTGATAAAAAAAAAACAAAAAAGAAAAAGAAAAAGACTGTTAGGTAAATGCTAGTTTTCCAGTTCTACACGACAAAGCCAGCTAGGTTTGTAGACCTTGTTTCGAACGGCGGCATGGAATGCCAGAAGAAATAATGGGGTAGCTATCGGTGGGGACGCAAAATCAAATATCAGATTTCTTGGGTTCTTGCGACTGATGCACACGGGTTAATATTTTTTATAAACAAAGAAGTGTTATAGGATAAAAAGTAACAGTACATCATGGGGATCGAGCAAAGCAGACCTCATACATGCACATCTGCACAACAAAACAAAAGAAAGCAACTGGTATGTACCAAAAAAAAAAAAAAGAGAAAGAAACTGGACAGAGGACAGCTGTCAAATCAAGTATACAGAAGCTGGGAGAAACCAATGAGGTGCCCATTTCAGCAGAAGTGGCTATATGTGACGTCTACAGCTTCTAATTTTCCTTCTTTCACCAAAACCAACCACTCGGAAGCAACCTTTCTTATGGAAACTGACAGCCTTGCTACTGCTAGGTGTGATTTCCCACTTGGGGCCTGTTTGGTCTCTCGAAAAATCACATTTCAATTATTTTCTTCAATTCTAAGGTGTTTGGGTGAGTTTAAAAGACTAAATTTAATTATTAATTTATTAATTATTAATTTAATTTAATTTTAATTTTAAAAATTAGTTTTCTATATAATTTATAAATTTTATAAAATATTTTAAAATAATTTATTGTATAAAATTTTTATTAATTTTAATTAAAAATAACAAAATTTTTAAATCAAAATTAAAACAAAGTTATTTGATCAGCAAAACAAGTTATGATAAGGGTAAGTTATCAAAATATATCAATAATTATAATTTTTGCTACAAAAATTATAAAAAAAATTGAAATAGTATGTAATAAAATTTACAGTCTCTTAGACAATAAAAAGGA